CAGCCCAGCAGTTGGCCCTCACCAAGCACATCTCAGCTGTCCTGGTCTCAGTCTCTACTTGCAGGAGAGACAGTCTAATTGACCCAGGTCTTCTCCCCAACACAGAGTCCCTCATGGTGGGCTAGCAACCGAGGAGCCATCCTTGGCGGTCTCCTTGCCCTCACGTCCAGGAGTACAGCCCTTGCTGTGGCTTCTCTGTTCTTTCTCCAAAATGCCTCTTTTATCTTGTCACTTCTCTCCATCTCCACTGCCACCACCACTCCCAGTCCAACCCCAAAATCATCTCTTACCTGAACTACTGAACGAGCAGACTCAGGGGTCTCCATGTTTTCATTGTGTTCACTACAAATCCATTAAAGTGATCTCCAAAAAACTGCTCGTTGGGGGATAGCCTCATTCATGGTGGTGGTGCATGTGAAAGGCTTTGGGGTGGATTTTTCAAGGATTATCTCCTTGTTGGGAAATTTGATACTCTTCTGGGGTGATATAAAGTGAGGTATTACTAAATGGAAGGCTTGGATCTATGACGGGTATGGAGGCAGAAATATTGAGATCACCCCTCTAGCTTGGCATCTGGGGACTCAGCTCAACTCACTTCTGTTTAGTGTGGCCTTGACTTTGAGCCCGGTTGGTGACTGTGCCCCTCCTCTGTCTGCGCCTCTCCACATCTGCCCCCACTTCCTTGTTGACCACTTACCGCACTGCACCACTAACCATTAACTACAGTTGTGTTGACTGGAGCTCATTTTCTGCCCACTACAACAGGTTCTCCCTGAAGCTGTCTCTGCACCTGTTAATATCCACCTTGTGTTCTGTACCCGACTTAACACATAAAAATAGAGGGCACCCAGTTAAATTTCAATTTCAAATAAATACAAAGAATATATGTTTTAGTATCTCTATGTCCCAAGTATTGCATGCACATCCTGTATGTTATCTGGCAACTCTACCCTGCTTGTCTAGAGTCCTCCCCACCCTCTAGGCAGAACTTATTTCAGATCTCTACTCCTGCCTAACCCACCACAGCTGATTATGGTGAACAAGTCTACCTACGTTTGGGTGTTTTCTGTCATCTGTGCCTATCTAACAAAGCAAGGTAGGTTCTCAAAGTCAAGGTGAGGTGACAGGGGAAATGCTGCCATGCCTCTTTTCTTTAACATGGTGCATACCTTGTCCACAAAGAGCCTGTCTGGCACAACGCCCTTGGCTTGCCTTTGATGGTATAGAATTCTTCATTTATAATGTTCAAAAGATCTAGTCACAAGGGCCTTTAAAGTAGTTTTACTGTTATAATGAGGTGTACAGTACACAGTTTCCCTTTGATTCCTCCTCTAGCCTCTCACTCCAGTAGTATTAGAGTCACACAGCATTAGAGTCACACAGCACCTTTGATCAATGAGCTTTACTGAGCGATCTAACTCAGACTTATGAAATCCTTTACTGGGGACAGGGGCAGGTGGCAATATCCTCATTTTATAGATGAGGAAACTAGAAAAAAATTATTTCCATTTTGCTAAGAGCTGATCTACAGCTGTGTCAGGGATCAGTGCATAAGTGAACTATCAATTTAAAACAGATATTGGAACTGATTTATATTATGACACATTTTTGCCACTGAAATAAGCTGTGAGTGTGGAGGAGAAGGTCTGATGCCAGGGATCCCTGAGAAGAGCCTCTATTTAATGACCCAAGAAAAGGAAGCAACATTATCACACTAACCCTCTGATAATATGACATTTTTGAACACAGCCAAAAGTTTAAACCAAAGTTTATTTAAACCAGATTAAAGCACATTGAAAGTTTAATTTGATCTGATCGATACCAAATCCCACTTTTGGCTGAGATATTATGCTGGATCTCTCATAGGGAGCTCTTGGCAAAGAACTGTGATGTATTTATTTCTTTAACTCTGTTGTTCTGTCATTTTCCCCATTGACAAATAATAAGTGTGTATTTTTAAATGGGATGCACAATAAACACAAGGGGATAAGAAATGATGAATGACAGTGTTTCTCAAACCCATCTACTCTTGGCTGTACCCTCCAGAATTCTTAGAGGATACATTTTTTTAATTAGCAGCAACTTTTCTTACTCTGATATGTCAGATAGCTTGGTGGTTAAATATATTTCCATGGCCAATTATTGACAATATTTTTCATAACACCTAGTTAAGTAGCAAGACAATTTCAAAATTCATCTTATCTTTGTGAGATGGATTGCAGCTCGTCATAATAAGCAATTATGGAACTGCTCGGCATTGGTAAGAGAGTTGGAGTCCTCTCACTGCTTTACTGCTAAAGCCATTAGGGTGGTCTGCAGTCTTTTGTCAACCAACAAGTATTTATACACAGAGCTCATTTCAAGTTAGGTGAAATTATTATCATTTGGCTGGATCTTCTTTTTCTCTAAGAGATTCATGACTGAGAATGTTACTTGGGCATCTTTTGGAGCCCTGTACTGCCCAGGTTTTTTAGCCCAAGGGACCCATACGCCTTCTTCAAGCAAAGATGTTCATACTGCCTAGGCATAACGTAGGAGGGAGTGCATTTTTCTTTACTTGCAGGGATATGATAGTCAATATTTGCCTTTTAGAACAGACCTGCTTAGTGTCTGAGGAAGCTACTGGGGATTTGCGAGTTCTGGATTTTCAGCTTCTATAGACTCAGCAGGGTGTTTTTCTCCTTCAAGCCTTCTGAACGGCTGCTGCTATTTTTCTTCCTAACCAAAATTTAAAACTATCCCAGAAGAAAACTACTTTTAAGACATAGACCACAGAAGTATTTTTTACTGTTTTGAATGTGTTGATATTACCTCATTACACAATGTTAGAACATGTCTAGAAGGCCAGAGTTGAAGGAGCTGTATGATGAAGCTGTAGTCAAAGAACAATGAAGTTTGCTTTTTACCTTTGCCCATTCCAAAACTCTTGGCTTAATGGGATAAAACATATCTGAGCTCGAGCTCTCAAGGAATTCAAAGATAATTCTTAGGATGTGGTAAAGGCTCTTGTAATTCTGCTACTAAAGAACTGTATGACCTTAGATACAGTGTGCAATAAATATTAGTTACTATTATGATTTATAATCGAGAAAAAATAAGGATTTGGGTAAAGAAATTGCAAATTATAGGATAGGAAAATTTTTATACAAACTCATCAGTAGGGATATCTTATTTATTTTACACGTTAGGAGTTTGATGATAATAAACAGCATGTAAACCACTTGAAGATGTGTGTCAAATTTTGTTAAACTTGGAAATTTTAATATTTATCAAAATGAAATTATTATGAATTCTAATCTAGTAATAAACAAAACCTTTTTGATTATTTTGCTAACTTAGAATGGATCAAAATATCTCTTTGATTTTGACAATAACCTTCTAAGTGGTTCAGGACTGAGCAGAATTAAAATTTGATGGCCCAGTCACAGTTGCAATCAGCTTATGTAAAAGAAGATGAAAGATCTGTTATATAGATTGACCTGAATTGAGGTTTAATAGAATACATGACAGATCAGACATAGTAAAAAAAAATAGCTAAAATTTATTCAGCATTGTATACAATCAGGCTCATAATTAGTTTTTCATGCATTCACTCATCTTATTTTCATAACTCATTATGATCCCTATTTTACAGATTTGGAAACTGAGGACCAGAAGTGTTAAACTGCTTGCCTAGGTCATGCAGCTGATAAACAATAGAGCTGGGATTCAGGCCCAGATAATCTAATTTTAGTGTCCATGGCAAAATCACTCTAAAACTTAAGCATATGAGCTAACATTTGTATATACATTTCTCTAATAAGTTGTTAAAATTATTTAACCTAAGTTGTTATAGTATGGCATATCTATGAATTGGGAAGCATTAATGAGATTATTTTGTTTTAACTAATAATAACTAAGTTAAGAATAGCTAACCTTTGATTTCTTGATATTTTAGCATAAACACTAATTCTAAAACAGAGCTGTCCAATACACTACATATATAGTTTAAAATTTTATAAGAACCATGTTAAAGTGAAAAGAAACTAATGTGATACTTTTAATGTTTTGTTTAATCCAATACATTAAAACTACTATTTCAACATGTAATCAATAAAAATATTATTAATGAGACACTATACTTTTTCAAGTTATTGCTCCAGCTCTTTGAAATCTGGTGTGTATCTTGCACCTCCTGAATGTTTCAGTTTAGACTGGCCCCATTTCAAGTGCTCAATACCACATGTGGCTAGTGGTTACTGACTTGGACAATGGGGCTCTGGAAGATTTTTTTTAGGAATGTAAATTCCTTATTTTATACATTTCAAAAATGATAAGCATAAGAAAGGCCAGTCATGCATTCATACAATAATTGCTCAGTTCTAGTACTTTCATTTCCAACTACGTAATTGGATTAACCACTGCCACTTAACTTGTTTAAATGATATCTCCTGGTACAATCTTGTGATTTTTGTCTAAGAGTTAGAATGGAGCAGACCTTAAGATAAAATCAAGTCTCCTAGAGAAAAGTGAATGTCTGTAGGAATATTTCACAGAATTAGGCAGAACCAGGTCACTAGGGAATTCACCATGTGTGGACCCAGTGGGGGTTTTCCAAGCTTTACACATCTGAAGTTAGGGATGGTCAACCAGAGGCCCTTTGCAGCTCTCATTCAGTTCTCAACCAGTAGAAATGTACATAGGTCAATGAACATTTATTAAGGATCTTTTTGATTCCTCATTGAAAAATTACTAATACATACTCATTGGGAAAAAAATGAAACAAATCGAATAATACCAGTGTGTGCAGCCCATTCAATGCTTTCTCTAGTTTCAGAAATAACCCCCATTAACAATTACATGTGTATTCTTTTGGACCTTTGTCTCTATGTTAATGTCTGTTTCTATCTAAAAATTTTTCTTTGTACAGATATGGAATCACCCCTACATATTGTTCTGCAGCTCCTCTTTTTTATTTAATAAGAAATCAATCTTTCTATGTATTTTATATATTTTATTCTTTTTAATGTCTGTATAGTATTACATAGTATGAATATGCCCAGTTTATTTAATTGCATCACTATTGGTGGATATACAAGGTTTTTCAAAATTTTGCTATTACAACATGCTGCAATGTACGTCAATCACTTCACACTTGTGCATTTCTGCATGACAGGTTTCTAAGAATTGAGATAGCTGGGTGAATGGTATACACATTTAAAATTTGACCAATACCTGTAAATTGCTTAGCAGCCTGTAGGAAAGATCTGTCTCTTGACTTCATCTGGAAGTACCCGTGTTCCCATTACAGGAAAGGAGTTGGTGCTTCTGAGGAACAGGATGTTTCTATACTCCACCAAAAAAATGGATCTAGTATTTACATTAATTAATATGTGTGGATTCAATTGGTAAAACACTATTCTGCTTTACAACTTCTTAGATAGGTAGCAGAAAACATCAGCTACCCTGGGGTTTCATTATAAGTTTTTGACATTCCTTCGATGATTCAGAAATGCCAGAAAATAAATGCCATGCCTCCTCCCCGGGGTTGAAACGAAGATGCTGGAGGTTTGAATTCTGTAACTGATCTTTCAAGAAAACAAGGTATGGGGTGATGACTCACTCACCCCATGGTGGCTGTCCTCTGACTCGGTCCTTTATAGAGGAAGCCTTACTTCGGGTCTACTAGTACATTTCCTTCCCTCTCCAAGAATTTCCTTGGGAGAGGGTGCCTAGTATGTGCCAAGGTTAGCCTCACCATTCTCTCTCCTCCGGAGCGCCACGGCCTGCAGTGCCCGGCCGGTCCTTGGCACCGGGAAGCCCGCGCTCACGGTGGGTGCTTAACAGTCACCGCCAGTAGCTGAGCGGTGGCAACAGCTGAGATTCACGAGGCCGCCTGAAAGTTGTGTTTTAGCCTGTGAGGTTACAAGTGCATATTGCGTTTATAAAATTAAGCCCCCTTCCCGGCTCTCCTACAGCAGCCGTCAGCGAGACAGACACACGGTTGGGGTGGAGTGAGACCAGCCCATGGAGTGGGACCAGCCCAGCGAGGCGAAGCTCGGAGAAGAGGGAGGAGGCGGAGGACGTTCCGAGTGCCCTGGCAGCTCCGCGCTCGCTGCGGCAGTGGGAGCAGAAGCGCCGAGGACCAGTTGCTCAGCACGTTCTCAGTTTGCATGCCCTTCCTTCTCTCTTCGGCACGTTTCCATTCTCAGGGCTCAGCTCCGCAGGAGAAAGGTGCGCGGGGCCTTTGGACTGTCCAGTGTGGGAAGCCAAAGGGGGCACCTACCAGGGCGGGCCAAAGCCTCGGCCCCGCGTTTGCCCCCTTTTCCCACCTTCCCCTCTCGCTGGGGTCGGAGACGGAGACCGAGAGGGGTGTTTGCGGTGGGGGCCTCCTTGGGGTCCCTGTCCCCTCGGAGCGCGCAGAGAAGGCCGGGGTCGCGGGAGGTCCCGGCGGCGCGGCGGGTACGGACCCGGGCGCTAGGGGTCCCCACTGGGCCCGGGGCCCCTGGAGGTTGCCATGGTGACGCGGGGTCGGCAGCTCCGCGCCGTGCAAACAAAGCCGCGCGCCCGCTCCGCGCCCGAGCTCCTCCTCCTAGGGCGCCTCCCTCCCTCGCCGCCGCCGCCGCCGCCGGAGCGGCTCCCGGCCCCCGCCTCCGCCGCCGCCTCCGCGGGCCAGGTAAGGCGAGCGCGCCGCGGCCGGGTGGGGGGCGGGCGCCGGGCTGGGGGTCCGCCTGCCGCGGGAGGCGGGCGCCGGGCCGGCCCGCAGCCGGGCCCCGGGGGCGCGCGGAGCCCCCGACGCCGCGCGGCCTCCCCTCGCCGGGAGCCTCCCTCGCCGAAGCCGGGGACCGGCGCGCCGAGGCCGGGGAATGCGGGGCGGCCGGGCTGGAAACTTGGCGGCTGCAGAGGCCGTGGCGCCTCCCGGGCGCTAAGCGGGGGCCGTCGTCCTGCGTCCCCGACGGGCCGCGCGCGGGCTCCTGGGCTGCGGCGCTGGGCGCGCTCGGCGGCTGGGCTTTCGCCGCGGCGGTGGGTGGTACCTGCCTAGGAGTCTGCCCTTCTCTCCCCCATGTTTGGCGGTGGTCGAAGGTGTTAGAAAAAAAGACACGAAAACATGTACCCATGGACTTACTTCCCTGTTCATAGTTTTATTCTCTTTGAGGACTGGATGCGAGGGGCGTAGGGGGAACAGACGACACCTCGGGCAGACTCAGCAAAGTGAGCCCGATTTCGTATGCCCACGACTGGAGCGCTGGACGTGCTTCTGAAGTTCGTGTGCATTTTGAACACAAAGACTATCTTTGCAGGTGCAGCTCTACCTGTAACTGAATGGGCACGGTAGCGCGGTTTCCCAGCTAGGAATGCAGATTTACTAGCAGGACCAATACTTTGTAGATTAGCTCCTTGGCTCCGAGGTTATCGCTATTGTTTCTGGAAGGTATTGTGTTCATGCTTTAAGGGACTGGAAAATGCCTTGCGTTTTTACGTGTAAGGAAGCAATCCCAGAGCACCTCTGAAGGCAGTTAGCTGGATGGTATTTGTATCTATGTTTTGCATGTGATGAGGTTACAATGCGTTGCCAAGGGCGTATGGGTACTGGATGGGGAATTGCTCAAGTTGTGGGTGCCCCCTCCTTTCTCAACGGTCCCAAGCCTTACCATCATTTCATGATACTTACTTTGTCACAGACACAAAGAGTGAATTAAAAATAATGATTGTGAAGACCGTCTTGTGCTACTTAGATATCTTTTATGTGTCGTAATATGAAAGACCGGAAAATTATTCATTTTCAGAAATATAGCTCAATTCAGATCAATTAGATCAATATAGATCAATTCAGAGGGAAATAACGTATTTGCTAATATTTGTTTTAGCTGGGGGGGAGATACCACATTGATAACTGGAAAATGATTCACTGAATTGTATACTGTCTTAGTAAAATAATTTGGAAGTTGGAATAGTTCAGTTGGAGAACATTCTAAGGAATGCAAGAAACTGTAGCTTTGCTACAAAGTAGTTAATGAAAGAAACCAATGCCATGGATCATTTTGAATTGCAGTTAAATTGATTAAAATTATGGATGTTAAAGCTACTTGAAGTGTTAGGCTTAAAGTGATTGTCTAATATTCCTCTTCCCTGTTTAGGCATTCCAACACCTGTTAGTCTGCTGATTACTAGGTTTTTAAGTCTTCATATTTACTAGCAATTTTAAGTAATGTCACTTCATTGGGAGACTGTATTGAAAGCTAAAGGATTAAGGTACAACAACAATTTGCAGATTATTTCAAAATTGGGTTTGTTTTTAAACTGAATTGTGTATGTAGAGTGATTCATGGATGCTCTGCTAAATATTCTTTGATGATGGTAATGAAATTGTACTGTGATTATAAGGAAGTAGATCTGTTTTGAGAAGATAACCAGGAGAGAAAAAATCAGTATTTTCTCAAGCATGAAGGGCAATTGGAGTATTGAAGCCTAGGCATAGTATATAGACATGGAATGTAGTCTCATGTTTTGTACTAAAAATAATCATTTCTGTCTTCTTTTTGAGGTGCCAAGAGTACAGCTTTATTTAGATCTTTGTTAGCAAATTCAGCATTCAGGTGCAAGGACTGGACCTGTTTTTCAGCCAGATGGAACCCTCACTGTGCGTTCTAGCCTGAACATTTATACTGTGGCCCTTAGTTCGTATCCTGAGGAATGGAGCTGTCCAATGTTAATTCAGCACAATAAGGACCCATGTTTTTTTTGCCTTTGCTGCTAGCTCACACAAAGCACAAGATTCAATATAGTTTGGCATCTTTCAAGCTGTATCGCTTTCTGCCAAAAAATAAAGTCAGTAAACATCACAAATAAACAGTCATGTATTGCAGGCACCGCTTTGTTTTAGTGGTTTGTTTATACAAGCTCTGAAGCATGCAGTGAAGCTTTTTCGGTACAGTGAAAAACAGTAATTTGGCATGTTTATATATGTTACTACTGTTCTAAAGTATGCACAAAATCAGATAATGAAAGAGAAAAATACTGTGATATACACAGGATCTCCTTAGGAAATGCAAATGGAAAATGTGCTTTATGCCCATAGTTCAGATCAGCCACCTGGTGGGAACAGGGAACAGCACAGGGCATCCTCAGGTGCCAGAAACCAGTCACACTTGCTGATTCACAGTAGCAGTATGAATCTTCTTGAGCATTTCAGGGCTTATGGGTCTTAATTTTATGAAGGAAAACTGGTCCTAATTTGGGGCATAAGTTGTAAAATATGGCCTGATAACTGTAACCACAGCTCTTGTTCTACCTGAAGAACTCTGTAACTTAACTTACCAAGCATACCTAAGATATAAAATGAGCTGAGAAATGTTCTTGTTTAAGTTAGGATTAACATTATGCTTGTGCCCTTGAGCGTCAGTTGTTTGTAGCCCTATGAGCCTGCCTGGGCAGTGGAAGGCCACGGAAGCCCTTGGAGGCATTTTTTGGGTCAATGTTCTCTTGCATTTTCTAGTTACACTGTGATGGAATGATGACTGGCTGGTGATTTAGTATCTCGGACAGTGTGTTGTAGTGTTCATATACCCACATTTGTGAAGGATGATAGTTTTTTAATGATTTCTTCGTTACCAAACAGTTCTGGATTTGTGGCTGGAGAGAACAAAGTAGCTTTGAGACCTCAAGGAAAGATGTTATAAGTAAAAGGTATTGTTAACGGACCTGCTCTGCATGGTGGGTATTGATCATAACTACTGTGCTGAGAAAAGGCCTGGGAGACGAATAGTGGTGATGACAAAAGTGGCGTTTTGTGACATGGATTATTAATAGCGATGGATGGAGACTGAAAAACTTGCATGGGCAGATGTTTCAATTTTTGGGCCCTCAGCTACAATGAGGATACAGTGTCTTAAGCCATTTTGTAAACCACAAGTGCTTGGGGAAGATGTGAGCATTTATACTGCCTGGCACAAATTGTAGTGTTATAAATATAGTTCAAGGTCAATGATCGATTTCTTTATGTACCAGTTATTTGTAGCAATTATATAGTTAGTTTTGGACATCAGTCAACAAATGTTTATCAAGTCTCTCCTTTTATGTATTCCGTATTGCTTGAGGAAAATCACCTAAGCTCATATGGTTGAGGTATTATGCGTTCCCAACTACTATGATTATTTCTTTTATTTTATGTATAACTCATTATATATGATACCCAAATTTTCTCTTTTGGCCTAGTTTTCAGCCTTCCTTCTCTTACGAGGAAAAGTTACCAGTTGATTCCCAAATACTTTAAAAATTTTATATCCCTAGGGCCTTTAAAAAATAGGATTTGGATAATTTGTTGTTTAACCAAGAGAATAGGAGAAACTTAGTTTATAATAGTGTGCATTAAAAAAACCCCACAACTCATGTTACAATCCTTAGTTTTACATTTTGGATATTTATAGAGGTTGTATGGTGGCTATGGATATTTGGGATCTTGTTAGGTGATTGATTGACTGCTCATTTGTCTAAGTGTCTTGAACTAGATCCTCCTGCTTCCTTACCTTGTAGTCAGTTGAAGTAAAAACCAGAGGACTGCAGAGGTAGATGCTCAAGTGAGTTAAAAGATGTTAAGAAGAATTTTAATCATACTGAGAACCTGCAAAGCCTTGGTCAAGGGGGAAGGGAGGGGAGAAGACTGGTGGCACTAATGTCTTTAACACCTTGTGGTCCAGACTCCTGAAGCAATTACCCAAGGGCAGTGTGTGTGGTTTCCAGAGGCAGGCCACTCCTACAGCAGAGCCACCTGTCCTTGTGGCTTACCTAGTCACTTTTCTCCTGACTATAAAAAGTGACTCCTTTGAATTGTGGTGTTAAGTGCACTTTGAATATTACAAACCACAAATTAGGGCATAAGAGTAGAAGTTCTCTGCATGAGAATATTATGTGACCTAACTGATCAGGTTGACCAGTTAGATAACCAAGATAGTACTGGAACTATACAATAAAACTATGTGTTTGTCTAACATACTTGATATACTTAAAATAGAAATTGCATTTCTGAGCATTAGTCTGTTATGAACTTTCTTCTCTCTCTTTTGACCATAGTCTTTCAAAGGAGATATGCATTTCACACAAGTTTATCACTACATGGCATGTCAGGAATAGTTATGTTGAAGATCAGATGCTTACCTCAAACTCTTGCATTGTGAATCTAAAATAAAAGGTTTCTTTGTGGTCTTATGTGGCATTGCCTTTGTTACATCTAGTTTCCTCAGACCCTGTTCATTATGACTGCACTTCCATCTGTTTTGATCAGTCAATCAAATCCTTACTAGTGCTGCCTATGGGCAAGGTGCTATGCTGAGCACTTCACAAATATTAATTTATTTAATCCTTACAAGAACCCTCTCTCAAAAATACCTAGTATACTAGGTACTAGTATGATCCCCAGTTTAAAAGGAAGAAACCAATTAGATCTCTCTCTGTAACATTAACCTAGAAGTACACAAAATATACCAGAATCCTAGCCTCTTTATGTCAAGGAATGCAGCAAGCTTTACTTTTCAGTTTACTGATATACATTAAGTGGAGAAGTAATGGCACTGATTGTTACGGCGCTTGGGTCTTTTTTCTTATTTTAATGAAAAGAAAGAAAACAAGAAGCATTTCTTCATAGCATATTGTTACATGTACCAGGTTCTTTTCCTTATG